TTTTTTTTTTTTTTTTTTTTTTTTTTTTTTTTTTATTTGACGTATTTAAGTGTTTGAAGCGTTCTTTTATTATTATCAGATCACTTGAATTAGCAACTGTCTTCCCAAACAATTGTAAGATTATCATATCGTGTAATGTGCCATTGAACAGTCTTCCTCTATAGAAAGTTTATTGTGTACAGCGATATTAAATATTGATAGATAAACAAATGTATAAGAAAAAGCAACCAACGAACTGAGAAACCGGCTAACATACATTCAGTTACATTAACGTTGGTTTAGTCAACCCTTGTTGTTTTGCTTCTTTTTTTCTTGTATTTAGTGACTTTTAACTTGAGAAGTTATCGTATTCTAAAAAAACTTTTTTTCTAAACATCTACACTTAGTTCTGCGTTAATTCTGTTTTATGAGTAAATACAGTGGAATATTAGCTAACCTAAAGTCAGAAAAAGAAAGAAAAAAAAGTAAATTGTTTAGTGAATTTCGTTGAAGTTTAAACCCAAGCAGCGTACTCATTATTTTATTAAATGCTAAAAATGGAAACTATTTTTGTTTATTTATAGCTGACAACAGTTTTTTCTTGGTTAGTCAGCAAAACTTACTATCAGATGAAAAAAAAAGACAACAATAACGACAGTAAAACATGTCTTGAACATGAAAGATCTTCCAGTGACATTGAACATCACCAAATTCACTTGCCAACGCACCGAAAAACTAAAAATACAGATCACAGAGAAGCCAAAAACAAAATGACATTAAATGAGAAATCTTGTGTAATATTTTAAAACAAAATAACGTAAATTTTTTAACAACAAAAATATTTTTCTATTCTTTTTTTTTTTGTCTCCTACCAAAACTCTATGTAAGCAAGCCAATAGGAACCTAAAAAGTGTCGTTTTTTTCTTATCAGGTCATGAAATTTACAAAATACAACAGCACGACACGATTAAGGTGCAGAAATTGTCCAACACTAATCAGCTTCACAAAATTGCAGTTTGATCGGCTGTATTAAATCATTAACAAAGCGTAGTAAGACTTCAAAAAACAAAATTTTTTTTTTCTATACAGCACATTTTAAAATAACCAATTTCTTTCTTTTGTAAAAAAAACTCCAAAAAATAAAATTATTTGAAGAAGTGATGAGAGGGCAAACGTAGAGGAAAAGAATGACAATCAGTAAATTTTAATACTATTTAAAAAAATTTTGTTTCTGAGCATATTTAATCCAACACACATCTTATTTATTTATTTGATTATTTACTCATTTTATTTTATTTAATTTTTTTCGCATACTTCAACGACGATAAAACTGATTATAGAAAATTATGAAATTTATTCCTAAAACTTGAAGAAACTGTTTAACTGTCGCATAAGACGCATAGTGAAACTTGTGGATGGCTTTCAGTGATCAGAATTGAGTAAACAGCAACAGAGTAATGTGGCACATATACCAGCACACGCACCTGCAGCCACTTGACCGCCATCAATTTGTCGACCATTTGTTTGGGAATACCAACCATTATTCCGTGTTCTGAAATACACCTCCTTTTGGTTAACTAGTCTAGCCCAAGTACAGTTACTAATCCAGCTAATTTTAGTGGATCTAAGCTATAAAAAAAAAAAAAATTTGTTTATCGGATTTAGCACTTTCAAATTCGTAACATAAAACTTTCCTACTCTAATAAACATTTCGTTGAAAACTGTGAAAAAGGCCAATAGCAGAATAAAAAACTGTACAATTTCAGATCGAACAGGCGAAAAGATTATAAAAAAACATCATATTTGCGTATCACCCTGAAGTTGTTTGAAATATTTACATTTTATACTGATGAGAAATCATCAGTTTCGTATTTACAGTAAAGCTAAAATATAAAAAATTAAATTTTTCTACACTTTTTTCTCAAATTCAACAAGTTTCATTTTAAAAGGCAATAAGATGGCAGCATTACCAGTTCAATCAGCCGACACATGAAAAACTCTAACTTTAATTGTATACAATAATGGCTGTCTATAATTGAGAAAATCAACGAAACTATACTCTGTAGAAAACAATTTAATGCTTACAATATAGTTATTGTATTTTGAAGCTCACTCATTTTGAAGCTTCTCTGCAAAACTAAGCAGCATATGCCATCCTCTACATGAAATTCACTGTCAACAGAGTGTTTAAGCAACGTCTTCAACATTAACTTCCACTTAGTAAGCGCTATAAAGATCGTAAATTTACAAAATAAATTTAGTAGACTAACTTTACTGCGTGCACTGGATGCACATAAGGCTGTTGAAAATAAGGTGGTTGCATTTGTTGTCCGTAATTAGCCGGTGGATACTGATAATAAGGCGGCTAAAATAACCAACATTACTTCATCAAAAAAATTTTGTTTTACTAAAAAACAGTGAAGTTTCAAATTGATATTGATATTATACAAAATAATTCACACTTTCGTTTGTGCCACTAAAGTTTAAAAAATTTTATTAATAGAAATACTCACAGGTACATTAGCAGCTGGTTGTTGTACAGTTACTGGAGGTCCTTGTTGATAATTTTCGTTGCTAATAAAGTACGGATTATATGGTAGATTCTCTTGCACAGAATGTGAACAGCGCGGCATTTTAACGTCCTTTGCTGCCCTCAGAACACTACTAGAATCATTTCAATTAAGATACTGTTTAAAAAACACCTTTACAACAAAAAACTTAAAAAACAATCTCTAATTAAAAAAAAGAAAAAAAATTTTGAGTGGGATTTTTTATGTATCTAATTTTAATGCAATAATACATCAAAATCAAAACATTTCTAGGTTCAGAAAAGCAGCGTTGGTCCGATGCACTGAAAACAAGTGCTAAGCGTATAAAAAACTAAAGAATACAATTCGTGGTTTTGACGTTACTTGTTATCCAAACCAAAATACGTTAGACACCTCAAAAGTTTAAGTGCGTTGTGGTTACTGGGGACGTCAATCGACTGTCATCTGATCAGACAATGATTCACGCTGTACACTGGCGATGATAACCAACAGTTTACAGGCGGTGAACGTGTATCAGTGACCAAAGAAGCTCTCAAGCAGTTCACAAAGAGTCTCGCATAAAA